GCCCATCATCACTAATTTCCATGTCTCTTTTCTTCATCATAAAATCACAATGTTGGTCCTCAACTTTGTAGATTTTTGCACTTTACTTCTTAAATTTCAAAATTTTACAATTTCATCCTCAATCTCGCCACATTTAACTTCATAAAACATTGTGATTTAGTTCCATATTTTTTATTTTTAAGAGTTAAGTACTATCCTACACAAATAATGAAAATAATATAAAATCAAGTACAAAAATTATATCAAACCCATTCAAAGTATTAATAAAATAAAGATGAATTTGCATCATATTATATATTTAAAAATTCAACCTATCAAGTACTATAAAGAAATAGAGTAAATTTTATATTGAAATTTTATTAAACTGTTATTGAGTTATTAATGCTAAATTTCTTCTATAAGAAAAAAAAAAATACCAAAGGGAGGATTATGATTAAAAACAATTTTTGAAGCAATACAAGGGGTACATTGACCCCTAAAATATAAATGTAAGTAAAAAAGAACAAAAAAACAATATTAAGGAATTGTGTCACTTCTATTTTGGTTTAAAATATATCTAATAAAAACAAACAAAAAATGTCTAATTATCATAACCTAATTTTTTTACTTAATATTTATTTTTAAGTTTTCTATAAAAATTCAATGGTCATCTTTTGTATGTCCTAATATATTTAATTTTTGTAATATGAGTTTATTCACATGAAGATGGCACTAAGAAGAAGAACCAAAGGAATGGAGAATGGAAAAAATTCCGAGCAAAAAAAAAAAGGAACCGAAAAAAGTGAAGAATAAGGCATGAACAGGCCACTATATTTGGACCCAATTTTGACTTCCTTGAAGCATTACTTGGAGAAGAAACCCAAATCTCCCCTTCAACTCCGTCCTCAACAGGTTCATGTGTATTTTCAGTCACAACCATAATGTGAATTCCTTCTTCTTCATATCTTGCAGCAAGCCTTGTACTTGGTAAGAGCTTGCCATGAGAAGGAAAACCAACAGAATTCGCCGAGCTGTTATTTTTCTCCAGGCTGTTATTACAATTTAGTCCATAAAAAACAGTTACACTTAAGTTTCAAAATTTTTAATTTCATGCATTTCAGTTTTTTTTTTTTTTTTTTTT